CATGAAAACGGAATTTTGCATTTAATGGGAAGAATGGGGTTTTAATTTTCGGCTGCACCAATTAAGAGGGAATATTCAAAAAGAATCATCATGTGTGACAGCCATAACTCACTTAGGTAGCTAGGAATGTAGAGAATTTAAGGTTCCTTTTGAGTTCTCCCACACTTAACCCTAACTTAATAGAAGCATTTCACCCTAAGGGTTTATTGGCGCAAGTGAGAGTGGGGAACACAAAGGGATTCATGCAAATCCAGTTTAATTTCAAACAAGTATCAATAAAAGAGGGAAAGAATTAGGGCTCCACTTTTGGTTGCACCATAAATGAGAAATTTCCAAATAATGGCCAATCAAAATGCAATGGTTCATGGGTGGTGGCTGCATGTATTTAGGGTAACAAGAAATTCAAGTAATGCATTAAGTGCACTTATTATGGTCAAGATTCCAGCCATTAGAACCGATTCCCTCTCTTCCCCACATGCATTAAACAATTTCGGTTACTCTATTTAAGAGGGAGGGAATACGAAAGTCATCAATGTACCTCTCCAAATTTTCTTTACTTACACGTGGACTATGGTGCCATAATGCCTCATTGTATAATGAACCTAGGGTGTATGATATTTTGGAAGGACTCACGCATATCTGGACAAAAGTCAAGCGGGCAATTTGGGTAAAGGTTTAGGGAGGGTAAGGATCTCATGAAAAATTTTCTTAAAATCCCTCAATAAGATAAGAATACCACATAATCAATTAAACTAAAACAAGGACTAAAATTTATCATACTCTCCTAGGGTTGCTCAAGTTAGTTTATTACACGATTTTTATAGTTATACATATACGAAAATAAATAATCATATCCTAGGAGAAATAATTATGCAAATAAGGGACATAATATGATTGGGCAATCAACTACGAAAATTTATAAGCCAAATAATATTTTTGTTACTCAGTTAAAAAAAACATTTTAATGTGTAGCAAGAGCTAAACTAGAGTACGAAAAGAAAATCAAGCAAGGAGTTACTAATTAATAACCAATAATCCCTACCATGTAGACCAAAATTAGGGATGTTACAATACTCCCCTCCTTAGAAAAATTTTGTCCTCGAAATTTGACACTAACCTACCGTAAAAAGATAAGGGTAGCGTTCTCGAACCCTTTCTTCATGTTCCCACGTGGCTTGACTTTCATGGACTAAGGGAATCTCTTTATTTCGAAGTCTCTTGATCTCGTGATCACTAATTCGGTGGGGAGTAACCTCAAAGGTTAGGTTTTCTTTAAGGGGTATATGGTCAACTTCGATCACATGGGACGAATGAGGAATGTATTTCTGAAGTTGAGACACATGAAACACATTATGAAGTTTGGACAGGCTCAATGGTAAGGCAATTTGATACGAAGACCCTCCTATTTTCTTAAGGATTTGGTAAGGACTAATGAATCTAAGACCAAGCTTTCAAGGTTTCAAAATCCAACCAACACCCGTATGCGGGGTGACTCTTAAAAATACATGATCTCCTTCCTCGAATTGTAGTGGACGTCTCCTTCTATTGTAGTAGCTCTTTTACCTGCTTTGAGTTGCCTTTAATTTGTCTCAGATATCCCTGATATTTTCAGTAGTTTGCTAGACTATCTCCGAACCAATGATTAACTGTTCTCCCGCTTCATACCAACACAAAGGCGTTCTACATCTACGCCCGTATAACACTTCGAACGGGGCCATACCAATGCTAGAGTGATGGCTATTGTTGTAAGTAAACTCTATCAGTGGTAGATGTTCATCCCAGTTTCTGCTACTCTCTAAGTTGTATACTCATAGTAGGTCTTCCAATGATTGGATAGTCCTCTTGGACTGCCCATCGGTTTGGGGGTGATAAGCTAAACTAAGACGCAACTTTGTTCCCAAGGCTTGATGTAAACTCGTCCAAAACCTCGATGTGAAACGTGGATCCCTATTAGAAATGATCCTCTTGGGAATTCTGTGCAGGCGAACAATTTCCTTAATATAAAGTTGAGTCAACTTCCCCATAGAATATCTAGAATTTATGGGAATAAAATGGGTAGACTTGGAAAGTCTATCTATGATCACCCATACCGCATCATGTCCCATTGACGTCCTTGGAAATCTCGATACGAAATCCATCGCAATGTCATCTCACTTCCACTCAGGAATTTTTAGGGTTTGCAATTGTCCAGCCGGTCGTTGATGTTCTATTTTAGCCTTTTGACAAGTCAAGCATGAAGCTAAAAAACTAACGATATCTTTTTTCATTCCCGGCCACCAGAAATCTTTCTTCAAGTCCCCGTACATCTTCGTTGATCTAGGATGTATGCCGAACTGGCTCCTATGGGCCTCTTCAAGAATCATTCGTCTAAGTTCATCCTTGTCTGGCACATAAATTCTCTCCTTGTACTTGATCAATCCTCGGTTATGTTTGCATATGTTGGGTTCTCGCCCTTTCTTCTTGGCTTCCAATCTCCCTTGAAGAAATTCATCTTGCTCTTGAGATGCCTTGACTTGAGCTCAAAATTGATTATTCACTTGGAGCACTCCACAAATCAAGCTGTTTTGTCCCACTTGAACATCCAAGTTAAGACTTTGGAATTGTTCAAGGAGTTCAAATTCCTTTATCATCATCGTTGAAGTGTGTAATGTTTTTTGGCTTACGGCGTCAGCTACAATATTAGCTTTTCCAGGGTGGTAATAGAGTTCAAAATCATAGTCTTTAAGAAATTCCATCCATCTTCATTGGCGCATATTCAACTCTTTCTTATCGAAAAGGTATTTCAAACTCTTATGATCGCTGAACACTTCAAACCGTGACCCGTAAAGATTATGCCTCTAGATCTTAAGGGCAAAGACCACTGCAGCTAGTTCAAGGTCATGCGTCGGGTAGTTCTTCTCGTGAGGACGCAATTGTCTGGATACGTAAGCCACTACCTTCCGTTCCTGCATCAATACACACCCAAGTCCTTGGTGAGATGCATCACAGTACACTTCAAATTTTCCTTGGGGGTCCGGAAGAATCAATATCGGAGCTGAGGTCAATCTCTTTTTCAACTCTTGAAAGCTTGTTTCGCATTTTTGATCCCATACAAAAGGTTGATCCTTTCGGGTCAAACGGGTGAGAGGGGTGACAATCTTCGAGAATCCCTCAATAAATTGTCGATAATATCTAGCAAGTCCCAGAAAGCTACGGACTTCTATTACCGTCTTGGGCGATTCCCAAAGTAGAACAACTTCTACCTTGGACGGGTCAATCGCAACACCTTCCTTAGAAATAACATGCCCCAAGAAATTCATCGCTTCAAGCCAGAATTTGCACTTCGAGAGCTTAGCATATAGTTCCTTTTCTCGTAAGAGTTCCAAAACAATCCTCAGGTGCTACGCATGTTCTTCAAGACTTCATGAGTAGATAAGAATGTCATTGATAAAAACTACCACGAATCGATCCAAATAAGGATGGAACACACGATTCATGTAATCCATGAATACAACAGGAGAATTAGTCATGCCAAAAGGCATGACCAAATACTCAAAGTGACCATATCGCGTTCGAAAAGCTATTTTCGAAATGTCATCTTTCTTGACTCGAATCTGATGGTATCCCGACCTCAAGTCTATCTTTGAAAACACAGACGCTCCCTTTAATTGGTCCATCAAGTCGTCAATCCGAGGCAAGGGATATTTGTTCTTGATGGTTACCTTGTTAAGTTGGCGGTAATCCACACAGAGCCGCATACTTCCATCCTTCTTCTTGACGAGTAGGACAGGGGCTCCCCACGAAGATACACTTGGCCTAACGAACTGTTTCTCAAATAACTCTTCCAGTTGTTGCTTCAATTTAGCAAGCTCTACTGGCGACATTCGATAGGGTGCCATAGAGATTGGTCCAGCGCTAGGAACCAAGTCTATAGAGAATTCAACTTCTCTCTCCGGAGGTAATCCAAGCACATCCTCGAGGAAAACTTCAGGATATTCACGAACGATAGGTATCTTATCAAGCATAGGATCGTCCGTAGGGTCTTCAACAGCAAAAATTGCAAAAACTTGCGGTTCCACATTCCTTAGAGTACGGGTACACTGAGCATCTTGGCCTTCTTGAGTCCCATCCTTGGTCTTTTCAACATTATACGAACTGAAAACTAACTTCTTATTGGGACAGTCTAACATGACATGGTTGGCGGAAAGCCAATTCATACCTAGGATAATATCCAACTCAGAGAGGGGTAGGCAAATTAAGTCAACAAGGAATTCTTGGCCTTCCAAACAAATTTTACAATCACGACAAACAAGGGAGGTAGCAATAAAGGGTCCGGCAGGAGTAGAAACAATAAGATTCCCGGTCATAGGAGAAATAGGCAACTTCAACTGCCTCACATAATCATTGGAAATAAAGGAATGTGTTGCCACCGAATCATATAACACCCTTAAAGAAACATCATTTATAACACACGCACCTTGAATCAAACCTTCTAAGTGAATGGCTTCAATACCACTCATCGTGTACACGCGTCCCCTCATGCTTAGCCTTCCAGAAGGATTCCTAGAGTTACTGGGGTTTGGCTGACGGCGATTCCCCACTTGATTCTAACCGCCATGGTCGTTGCGATTCCCATTCCAGCTTCTTCCCTTGTTTCTTCCTCCCGCATCATTCCTTGTCAAGTGACAAAAAGAGCTATAATGGCCTTGTTGGCCACATCTGAAGCAAGTCACAGGATTTTGACGACAATCCCGTTGAAGATGAGGTCCTCCACAGCTGTAGCAGCGCAACTCAGGTTGCCTCAGTCCCCCTTGATCCGGTTGCCTATTGCCAGAGGAATTCCTCCTTTGCTGATGGTCAGGGCGGTTATATGGCTTCTTTCCATCTCATATCTTCCTCCTCTTGAAGTCAGAATTTCCCCCACTCTTTTGGGGTCCAGTGTTCTTCCACGCAGCTTGTTGTGCTTTGGTGTCATCCTCATAGATCCGACACTTGTCCACTAATTCAGGAAAATGTGCAATCTATTGGTAGCCAATTGCTTGCTTGATGTCAGGTTGAAGTCCACTCTCGAACTTGGAGCACCTAGCTCGATCATCAGCATGAGAAAAGTAAGAACAATACCTCGACAACTCATCAAACTTGGCTGCATATTCTCCTACACTCATATTTCCTTGCTTCAAATTAAAAAATTCCAGCTCCTTCCTTCTCCTAAGATCCTCAGGAAAATACTTCTCAAGGAATCTACGCCGAAAAGTCGGCCAATCGATAGCAGTCGCATCAGTTACCAATTGTTGGCGAGCGATCCTCCACCAGTGTTTTGCCTCACCCACGAGCATGAATGTCGCATAGACAACCTTCTCTCCATCCGGACACGCCATGGCCTCAAATATTTTCTCCAACTCCTCCAATCAGAGTTGGGCTCCATCAGGGTCAAATCCTCTGCGAGTGAGAGGGCTAGTTCTTACGAAACTCGGATAATTCTCAGTTTGGAGCTGGCTCGTGTTGCCTCTCCAGGATACCTACCACTCTTTCGAGTAAGGCATCAATAGTTGCATTCCTCTGCCTCCCAGCCATAAAACTCTGAAAAGCAAGTCGCAGGCAGGTAAGACAGTAGGAATACCCTAAAACTAAGATTCCATAATTCAATAAAGTAATAAAACATATAGCAATACTATTCATCATTCAATACACACAAGAATGGGTAGTTAGGACCATACTCAGGGATGAATGAATTGAACTGCTTTGATACCACTAAAGTGTAACACCTTAATTTCTACTAAGATCCTCTCTAAAAAAAATATATGCATTAAGACTTTTCTTTTTTCACTATTCACTCCAAGACAAACATGATTATTCATAAAAAAAAAAAAGTCCTTTATTTGAGTTTGTTCTTCACAAAGCATGTATATTAAATTAGTCTAACATTTTATCAGTATACTAAAATCTTCATTATTACTCTAAATTTTCTCAAAATAATGTTATGAAAAAGGTGGAGATAAACGCTTAACATCCCACACTACGTGGAATAAAATTCTGAAATCATAAAGAGAAACATATAAATAAAAAGGAAAGTATAATAATATAAGTCTTTCGTCCAAACGATCCAAGGTAAAACTACCATAAAACAAAAACCCCACAGTTTGGTATTTCAAAAGTAATTAAATCAGCCTAAAAAGAAAGCCTATGAGCAGTGTTCATCCATGACAAGGCAAAATAACTATCTACAAATAAAACTCTAATGAAAAGAAATCCTCACTAGGATCAGATTCCATTCCATCAGAATTGGATGAATCGTCCACGGGCTAAGGGCGAGGAGAGGGTGGCAGGTCGTCCAGGTCGCTGTCTATCCAACCAATGGCGAGTGGTGGTGATCGTGAGGTAGGCGATGGTGGTGAAGGGTGTTAGGTGGAAGGTCCAGCTTCCTCGGAAGGGGGTGCCCGAATGCTAATAGAATGATGGGGTACTGGCCTGACAGAAGACTCAACCACTTCGATGTTTTTCCACTCAGGTGCAGTTGCAGGAGCAGGGCTAGGGCAGGGGGTAGGTTCGGGGTCAAGGTCAATGATGGTCTTACCTTTATCCACAAAAGTTTTGATTCGTTTGGCAAGAGGTTCTTGAGACGATGGAGAAGAGGGAGGTGAGTGAATAATAATACTCCGTTCAGGTGGTAGGGGTACGGAAATTTCAGCAAAAATGTGGTCGTTGTAGTTTGGCTTCCATCCGTCTTCAGCGAGAGGTCCCAGGGACATGGAGATCATCCCCTGGTACATGAGGCGGCGCGTTGCTGGGTCGTAGATCCATCCCTCCTTCCCTCCGGAATCCTCTCCCCAAATCCTTGCTCGGAGTGGTTCTATCTACCACGCAATCATGCAATACAACAACAACAGCAAAACGAAACATGACACCAAAATAGAAACAGAAAGGGTGAGTTCCAAGAAATCTTCATTCAGGAATCAAATCAGAGATATAATTAAAATGAGTCGATAGTATTACAAAATCAGAATTCCAATAAATGCCAAACCTCAATTTAATATCTACCAGACAGCCAAGAAGCACAAATGGATTTACAGAAAATCATTAATAATACAGTTCACACAATGTAACTTAGAACACCAGTACTTCCTCGATTTCTATCATTCCTCCAGTCAAGGCGATCGGAGACCCTCATTCCCTACAAGCACACATTAACCACAATACTTCAGGGTTATTTCTCGGTATTACCATTTGGTTCCTCAGGAATGAGTTCTGCCACAACCCTCGGCAATGCTTGCTCGCGTCAGGATTAGTAGAGGTTTCGATGGTGACGTGTCCCAGCCGCAGTGAAGAGCTGCACAAGGGAAAGTTTTAGGGTTAGGTTAAGTGAAGTGGTACAAGTTTTTGCCTCGTCTTTGGAACGGTCACGCTTCCTAGTGCATCGGTGCAGGTGAAACGTTCCTTTAAAGCATTAAATGCTCAAAGTGGGAAAATAAGCAACATTTAATGCTCCACACTCATCCAACAATCAATCATGAGAAGAACATAACCGTGATTGGTGAGTTGGTTTCTGCGAGGCCATGCAATTAAGGCAAAGTGGCTACTTAATTTTTCTGATGGAGGGAAAAGGGATTTTAAACTTTCTATATTCCATTCACATGAAGGGTTACGACTCCTAGCCTACCTCGTGGTCAAGGTGGCGCCTCCTCTCCCAATTGTGGGCGTGTGAAAAGCCTCCATAATGAGTAGCAAATGCTATAAATCAAGAAACAAGAACATGCAATTAATGAAAAGTAATTAAGGAAAGAATTAATGAGTGGCATGATTTTAGGGTTTTAATTGCACCAGGTAACAACTTCTCACGTTGTCTCATTATCCTTAAATGGGCAGGTGGCGGTTTCAAGTTTCCATGGGGAAGAAATAAATTCAAACCCTCAGCATTCCCTGCACTTGAAACGTTGAGTCCTTTGGGTGGCTAGGGAAAAAGTGACGCCTCCTCCACGGCCATGCAAGTGCAAGAGTCTCCACAAAATAATAATTATAACCAATAAATGAAGGGAGCATAGCATTAATACTGGGCACAATTTGAGGGGGAATAAATGTTCCAGGGAAACGTTTTTGTGTTGATTGGCTTGCCTATTTAAATGTTGGCCGCGGTTTGGGTAATTTGAGGAAGGGAAGGGGCCGGTGTCTCTTCGCATCCCCATGGTAATTAATTCAGGTGAGAGGCAATTTAAATGCTAAATTCAGGTGAAAGGTCAGCCCACACATGAAAACAAAATTTTGCATTTAATGGGAAGAATGGGGTTTTAATTTTCGGCTGCACCAATTAAGAGGGACTATTCAAAAAGAATCATCATGTGTGACGGCCATAACTCACTTAGGTAGCTAGGGAAATGTAGAGAATTTAAGGTGCCTTTTTTGTTCTCCCACACTTAACCCTAATTTAATAGAAGCATTTCACCCTAAGGGTTTATTGGTGCAAGTGAGAGTAGGGAACACAAAGGGATTCATGCGAATCTAGTTTAATTTCAAACAAGTATCAATAAAAGAGGGAAAGAATTAGGGCTCCACTTTCGGTTGCACCATAAATGAGAAATTTCTAAATAATGGCCAATCAAAATGTAATGGTTCATGGGTGGCGGCTGCATGTATTTAGGGTAACAAGAAATTCAAGTATTGCATTAAGTGCACTTATTATGGTCAGGATTCCAGCCATTAGAACCGATTCTCTCTCTTCCCCACATGCATTAAACAATTTCGGTTACTCTATTTAAGAGGGAGGGAATACGAAAGTCATTAGTGTACCTCTCCAAATTTCCTTTACTTACACGTGGACTATGGTGCCATAATGCCTCATTGTATAATAAACCTAGGGTTTATGATATTTTGGAAGGACTCACGCATATCTGGACAAAAGTCAAGCGGGCAATTTGGGTAAAGGTTTAGGGAGGGTAAGGATCTCACGAAAATTTTTCTTAAAATCCCTTAATAAGATAAGAATACCACATAATCAATTAAACTAAAACAAGGACTAAAATTTATCATACTCTCCTAGGGTTGCTCAAGTTAGTTTATCACACGATTTTTATAGTTATGCATATACGAAAATAAATAATCATATCCTAGGAGAAATAATTATGCAAACAAGGGACATAATATGATTGGGCAGTCAACTACGAAAATTTATAAGCCAAATAATATTTTCTTACTCAGTTTAAAAAAACATTTTAATGTGTAGCAAGAACTAAACTAAAGTACGAAAAAAAATCAAGCAAGGAGTTACTAATTAATAACCAATAATCCCTACCATGCAGACCGAAATTAGGGATGTTACAATTTGTACAATCTATCTCGAGTTAGGCTTTTACCTCATCATAAATATTGTCTATAATTAAGTTATTGAAATTTGTGTTTTGAACTCATGCCAAAACATTCTATATAACTCTAGAAAATTATAAAATACTGAACCTTGTTTATGTTCGCCATTAGGATTCTTCCTACTCTAAGTGTGTACCAACTAGGATGATTTTTTTTAAGTGTAAGGCGAATGTGAGCTTAACATATTATCAAAAATGGATTAATAAAACAAAATAAGTTCAAATTCCCACGAGATAAAATCAGAGAACTATAAGGTTCTAACTAACATTTCATTACGTGTATAGATTTCATCAGAAATCAACTTCAAGCATTGAAGAGAACAAATGTGAACGTAACAGGTAAGGGGTGGGCTATGTAGTAAGGATTACATCATAAACTTGTTTAACCTTATTTGTTGAAATTGTCTAAATTTTATTATGATTGATGATTGTGATTTCCTTATATGCTTAATTTTGATAAGGGGTTGCTTATGTGTTTAGTGGTGGAAATATATGTTTGATACTTCATTAAGACATAATTGTGTTATATGATATGAATTGTCTTTGAGTGAGCATTTATGTGCATGGTGGTTTTTCATGGGAAAGTTTAATAAAAATAAATTGAAATGATTAAATGATGAATTGAGAACCCTTATAAACTGTATTGGGAAGTTTTCGGATTGTAATAGATATTTGAAAAATTTTGGAAAGTTCGTATTACAAGGAAAACTCTGTTGAAATTTTGAAAAATATTCAGACTTAGAAAATTTTTTAATCATTCTCAAACAAATTTAGGAATTTGGGAATATGAGACTTTTCTAAGAAAAATCACTTAGGAACTCATACATTACTCATCCAAAAATGATATTTTGTGCAAAATAGGGAATCAGAGACTATAGACTCTGGGAATATGATAGGGAGACCCTGATGGAGGACTTGGGGATAAGAAGGGTAGTGGTTGGAAGCCCTAAAAGACTCAAGCTCGCTACCTGTCGTCAGTGATCCCACTGTACAAACTCTCTTGTACTTGACTGTGCTCTTGCCGT